CAATTTACTAAATACAGCTCATGTAATTTTCTAATTCCTATCATACCCTCTAATCTCTATAGGCATATCCACCGTATGTGTGTTACGTGACTCTCCAACACCAACTCTACAGAAATGAAGAATGGTCATCCCCTCTCGGCTTACAATCTATAAGAGAGAAAGAGAATGATATTGTTGTCAAAGTCAGGGTCTTTACCGCCGACTCTCCTTAGCTCGGTTCTTGCCATCCTCTGTTTGGAGATTTCAGATCTATAAAGATGACATGTCAAACATTTTATTTGGCATGCATTTACCATAGCAAGATTTTAATCATCACATGGTTGTGTTTGGAACATCTTTGATTTCAATTCAATTTCTACTTTTCTGGATTTGAAAAAGAATATGTGTGTGCAATCTTTCTATGTACCATTCTGGCTAAAGAATCCACTAGTTTCATCACAAAATTTAGGCCCCCCGGTTTCCCTTTCTCAATATCACCATTTATGATCGTGGCATGACTTTCAACATTCTTCTTCTTCTTCTTCTTCTTCTTCTTCTATTGATTTGGCTTCGGTAATTTGACTGAGCATCAATGGTTGCTCAAGCTTTTATCTTCTGGTCTACCTTTGGGCACGAAAGTGTACCAGGGTTCATAGTATCTCTATTATGAAAGATATCATCAATTGGGCCTTGTTGGCTATTCTCTACGCTTGGATCCTCCGTCATTGATGAAGAGGTAGTTGTGAATTGCAGAAGATAAAGATGACTAAGATAAATGAACGTTAAAAATGCATTGTTTTGTAGATCTTACGTTTCTGGCCTATTTCAACGACTACAAATGTTGTTGGTACACATATTTTGTGTACATTACCCTAGTTGTTTGTCTAGACATGTAATTCATTCAAAATTAAAGATGTCTTGTAGACAGACAATTAGGGGTGCACAAAAAGTGTACAAAATATGTGTACACCAAGCATGGTTCTTCAACGACATATGTGTGTGTGGGGCCTATTTTATTGTGAGGTGAGGGATATTTTAGATATTCAATTTAATAACATTTGCTAATATTTAATATTGTGGTTGTGAATAGTAATTTGGGGCCTCTAAGCTCATTTTTCTCTACAAGTCCAAAACATTCACTAAATAGAACAAGGGTTACATAAGGGTTGGACATTCAAAACTCCATCAATGTATCAGCTTGATAGTTTATGGGGTAGTTAAGGTACCATTTTATATTAATTCTGTGAGTTCATTAGAAAATGTTCTAGTTATAGAGTTAGAGTTATATACAATATTAGTTCTCAGAAATTTGGTTTAATTTTTTGTTAAATCATGAAGAAAAATAAAAAATACATAAAAATATATTATGTAACTTAGTTGAAGTATATAAAATATAGGGAAAATGGAAACTAATAATCCAACCTTTTAGCGGTCTTCTTTTAATAGTCCGACCTTTGCGTTATTCATGAATAATCCAACCTTTGCACCTCATCTTCATTCATTGGTCCCCGACCGGTTGATGACCTGCTATTCCGAGTTATTTTCTTATCTTTGCAAAATATTATCTTTGTGAAAGGTGAAATTTATGGTATAATAGTTTGCAAAGATAAGAAAATAACTCGGAATAGCAGGTCACCAACCGGTCGGGGACCAATGAATGAAGATGAGGTGCAAAGGTTGGATTATTCATGAATAACGCAAAGGTCGGACTATTAAAAGAAGACCGCTAAAAGGTTGGATTATTACTTTCCATTTTCCCTAAAATATATTGATACAACAACATCCAAGCCTTAGTCCCAAACGATATTGGGGTCGGCTAACATGAACCGATACATGATATTGGTATAAAGTTTTAATATTGCAAATCATAGCAAAAAGTATAACCGTTAAAAAAAAAGATGAAATTTGAGTATTTATTTGATAAAAGATAATGAATATGATATATTGTTTAATTTGATGGTACTTAGGGATATACTAAGCTAAAATATTTTGTTAAATTTTATACAATATATCTATACTTTGTAATTAGTTGAATGCATATATTCATAGATTGAGATTACATAATCTATGATTGTAGTAGACTTTGTTGACTTTTCAAGTCTAAAGTAATTGGTGTGTCTAAAATATTTTAAATCCAACATTTTTTTTAATATCATTAAATTTGAAGCTTATTTTTTCTAGAACAATTGTAATCATGGGATCTTGTTAGGACTTTCAAGCAATGTTCTAAAAAGCTTGAAAAAATGTCGCCTAGGAGAGCCTAGGTCTAAGGCGTGAACAAAACACCCTAGCCTGCCAAAAGGCATGAAGGAAGGCTTTTAAATTTTAAAGGTTAAATAGGTAATACCGGTAATCCTATAAGGATTTGCATTACTAACGCAACATGTTAGTACATGCGGAGTATGACACATCATTAAATAGAATTGTTTAACGGAGGGATCTTCCTAGTTGTCTAGTGTGGGAACCTTGAATTGGGAATCTAATACAAATACATAATATAGGAGCTGAAGAGCACTTTGTCGTAGTGTGCCTCAAATTAAATTCACTACTAAGGGCTAATACCGTAGTATAGCGTAGTAGAGTTCGTATCCATAGGGAAAAGTGATTTTCACGTATGTGTAAGCTTAATAAATTAAATAAAAGTAAACGGAAGGGGGAATTGAATATTTTGATAATTGAGAAAGGAAATAAAATACTTAAATGAGTGAAATAAAATATCAAAGGTAATTAATCTTGGTTTTGCTAATTTCCACTTAGTAAAATGATCGTTGATCATTGTTACTACTTTAATTACTTAATACTTAATTGCGGAGAAATTCTGATTCATCTAGAATAACTATTAATAACGAGACGCGTTCATTAATAACCCTTACTATTAATTAATCAATATAGAACAAGTGTCATATGTTGATCTTAATAGTAGCATTCGGTCAATTTAATGAAATAAATTAAGAACGATAACTTGTAACCCGAGGTGAGTATTCTCGACGGTCACAACGAGAATCTCAGGTCCAATTATTCTATCTAATTTATTCATTTTTCATCTGATGAAATCAACTAAGATTGATAACCTCAACACAAGCGGTTTATTGGTTTAATCAATATAATTAATTCCCCTTAGGTTTATTAACCATGAGATGCATGCATTAGTAACCCAAGTTTACTACCGTGAAACGATCGAACGATTAACAAGCGTATTCGTCGATCGATTCTAGTAATAATTAATATATGAAACAAAACTAGTTGATCCTTTAAGTAATTTTCAAAATATTAATATGAAATATGAATATGAATTAATTAATATTCAAGGAAGAATATTAAAGAAAATAAATTCTACAATAACTAATGTCAAGATGTTAACTAATTGTCATCTTAGCAACACTCCCCAACATTAATATAGAGATAGATTCAATTAATATTCAAGGAAGAAGATTAAAGAAAATAACTCACAACTTATAATTCATTAAGCTTCAAAGTAGCAAAAACAAGCTCAAAAGACTACCTAAATTACAAGAATAAAGTGTATATGAAAGAGGGGATTAATTGATCTCTAAAATAGGAAGGAAAAAAGGTGTTTTTATAGGAGAAGTGAGGTGGTTGGGTCTAAGACGTAATCTGATTTTCCCATGTTCACTTGCTTTATTTGATCTCTTATGATCTCCGGGTCAAATCATATCCGATTTTTCACATTTCTTTGTTCTCCATGAAGCTTCCTCTTGTCTCCAATGTTCCTTCCTTATGCTCCCAAGCTCCTTCCTCTTCTTTAATTTTCATCATGTTTTTGCTTACATGTCAAAATATCTTAATATCTTCTAATTCTACTTTAATTTTAGAAGATAAAGATTACATTGTAATTGTACAAAAGCTAAGTAAACATAATGTAAAACCATTCTAAAATGTGGTGTTTATGCACTACTAAATAATACACATGAGGAGCCGTGCTTTTAGGGAGATCAAATTTCATGTTTACATAAAAACATGAGGTTGCATGGCCAACTCATACACAATTTGTGTTGCAGTACTTGTAGACTTGAGGAAATATGAAACTATATCCCCCATGAATTAGCTAGACAATTAAGATTTCTTGTAATTATTATTGCTATTATTATTTTAATCAACTTCTTTCATTCATGTTTTTTGTATAGTAAGTAAACCTGCAATCCTATTATTTGTATAAATAAGTGTGAACTTTTGTGTGTGATATTATGTAATATTGCATGTACATATAAAATAGGAAAAATTGCCAAGAATAATCCCACCTTTCATTGGTCTTCTCATAATAATCCCACATTTACATAATCCCAGAATAATCTCACCTTTGCACCTCATCTTTTTTCATTGGACCCTGACCAGGTTTTTTACTCTTTCTTTGAAAATCATATAAATAATCTTACCTTTCACTTTTTATTATATCTTTATAAATGTGAGATTATTTATATAGGATTTTCAAATAAAGGTAAAAAACCTGGTCATGGTCCTATGAAAGAAGATGAGCAGCAAAGGTGGGATTATTTTGAGATTATGTAAAAGTGGGATTATTATTAGAAGACCAGTGAAAGGTGAGATTATTCTTGTCAATTTTTCCTATAAAATAATAGCTGAAAATTTTAAATAATAGTAAAAAATCAAAATACTTTTTCATGCCTAGTTCCTGCCTAGACCCGCCCAGGCTTCAAAGGTTTTGGGCTCATCCGTGCCACCTCGGCATGCCTTATGCCTTTTAGAACATTGCTTTCAAGTAAGAAATGTAGTGTGTCTCAAATGTTGTGGCTTGTAGATGTCTACAACCTTTTTTATTTGGAGAAATCTGGAGTAGTAAAAAGATGGTGGACTCGCCTCATCTCCCCAAGAGGTTGGATAGAGACTCAAGTATGTTATACTACGTATATGCTTAAATTTACGTAATGTATACTTTGCGCTTTACTCATTATTCACACTAATTATCTATCATCATACTTAGAGAGTTAGAGGAGTACTTTTATGTGTTCGAGAGACACGATTTTGATATATGTGGTCAAGATTCTCTATGAGCTTATACTCCTTTTACCAGTTTAGTAACATCGACTAAATTTGTATTATTTGTAAATAGAATATTAATGTATAGCAAGAGGGGGGCGTCTCACTGAATTTGAGAAATATGATTATAGGACATTAGGTAGCTAGAAGAGTAGATTTTGGCCAATTTGGTAGATGGTGCCATTTATAGTTGGTGAGACATACTTTAGTGCATATACAACTAAAATCGCATATATATGAGATCTCGTGCATTGCATAATCCCACAACAAAATGTGATGGAACATGGTAATCCTCATGGCCTTGGGCACAACTTGCGTTCAGATTTTCAAGGGCCGCCGGGGGCGCACCAGGCACCACGCGACGTGCAGTGCTCTTCCCATTGCTGGACCCTACCTCCTGCTGAGCCGTTTCCAAGATGGGCAGCAAACATCAAGTACAACCCAACTTTCGCCAACAGACCACACAGTTCACACAGTTGGAATCGCTCTCGACATGTATGCTCACACTTGAACCCTTCTCAAAAGATCAAGGTCAATTGGTCATCACGCTTGGTTGAAAAGCTAGTGGCTCGATGCTACCGTGCGTTAGATTATGATTGAATGCCTCTAAGTTAGAAACCGGGCTAGACCGATGCATTCGAGACATATAGAGCTCGAATGAAAGAAGAAGAAGAAAGAGTCGTCTAAATGACTTGATAATTTAATAATGACAAAACAAGAATTAGGGTATACAATGATTTAAATGCTTACTATTTATAGATCAACCTTATGAAATTCTAGTTGGTGCCTACTGCCGATGTGTTAGGTATTAGTTGTAGCTTTAACCAGATTTTGGAATGAATAATTGCATACTATATGTTATAATTATCGTTTTGTTAATGACTGTTAATGGCGATCGTTCTATTTTGTCTAAGTTGTGTTTTTTGTTTGGGTTGGTATAGTTTTGTTTTTTGATTTATGCATATGGTCTAAGTTGGTCTAACATTGGAGTCAAATGGAGTCCCCTTCCATTAATTTAACAAGTGCAATGTTACCTCCCTGTTTGAGGAAGGTAAGCGTGCAGGTCTTGTGTGGCATGTTAGGAATCATGGTCGATTATGATGCCCCGAACAGTGTGGTGCAGCTTTAACTCCGACAAAGGAAACTTAGGGCCTCAAGGAAGGTGTGAGAAGGGTGATGACAATTGATTTGATCAGTCTGAACATATTGCAAGTAATTGGTGTTAGTATTTATGTCTAATTGAGTTGATCAGTCTGGTGAATACAACTCACTAATGAAAACCCCAAAAATCTTGTTGACTTCTCACGACAACTTAACAGTCTGTTTACCGAATGACAAGCAAATAGTTTTGCACATATTTCTACAAGGACTTCAAATATATGTAGTATATGATATTATTAATAAGTTAAAATTGTCAAATAAGTTCTCGTACTATATCATAAAAGTCAATTAAGCCCCCAACTAAAATACATTCAATTAAATCCATGAACTATAGAAAAAAAACAAATTTGTCCTTCAGCCTTTTAAATCCCGGTTAACCGGTCACCATGTTGACTTGGTTGTCCACGTGTCATTTTTTAGACTTTTTCTCTTTTTGTTTTGTTTTTTCTTTTTCTCTTTTTTCCCTCCGGTCCTCCATCTCTTCTTTTTCACTGCATCATTTATGTGCCTCATATGCCTCACGCCACCTTCACCTACATGGTTTCCAGCTCAAAGGACATAACGTTTTCGTTCATTATAAGGGAGCGCTGGAGCACCTTTACACATTCCGGAGCACTCTTTACCCTTCGATGACCTAATTGAGCAGACATGCCGACTTCCGCCTCTTTTACAACGCCGGCGATAGCGCCGGAGCGAATAGAGCTCACAACCTTGGCATGTTAGCAGTAAGTGAAGAGTAATCTGGGTTAGGCGTTGAATCCTTTGCTGGTTCGACCATTATTTTAGGGGTAGGACCCTTTCGAGTCGAAAAATGGATTAAAGGATGCCTGGGCAAGAAGGCTAAACTCCATAAGCAGTGGACGTTTGTTTGGCCGTCGAATCCGAGTAATTATGAGTTCATCACAAGTTGGTCACCCCCTGATTAGGGCAGAGCACGGGTCGGGTTCGGGCGGGTTGGGTTCAAAAAAGGTAAACCCGTTCGGGTATCGGATTGATAATTTCAAACCCTACCCGATCAAAAAATTTATCGGGTTTTTCGGTTTGAAGAAGTTTGGGTTTCGGTCGGGTTGATTTGGTTTTCGGGTCCATTCGGATTTTAATTTATTATTATTGAAATTGTGATAAATAAAATGGTAATTGGTAAAAATATCATTCAAAGTTATACTAGTATAACATTCAAAGTAATAGTTGTATAAATACGGTAATCAACATATTTGAACATGTAAAATAATAATATACGGTGATTGACTTATTTGATATTGTGATAAATAAAATGATAATTGGTCAAAATATCATTCAAAATCATAACAATTCAACATTCAAAGTTATAGTTTTACAAATACAGCAATTGGATTATTTGAATATTGCATAATATGGTGATTGACATACAATAATTGAGATATTTGAACATGCATAATAATTCAAAGTGGTATATATACTACCCTAGTTCGGGTTTTCGCGCGGGTCGGGTAGCATAATTGGTAACCCTACCCGCTACTTGCTTAACTCTCGGGTTGCAAAAATCAGATCGGGTTTGGGTCATTCGGTTCGGGTTATCCGACCCAAAAAATAAAATCGGATATATCTGATCGGGTAGGGTCGGGTTTGCTCTCCCCTACCCCTGATGAGAGAAAATGCTCCAATTTTGGAGGTTGCGAAGGAGTAGACGTCGCCGACGATCTGTGTTGAAGATGATGGCCGGCGGCACCAAGGATGTGGCAGAGGAAGTTGAAGATTACCACCACCAATCGACCCTCCTCGCCATCGCGCGATTTAATTAAGTTTCCTCTTATTACAGGTGGAAGAAGGATAAATAAAATGTTGAAGAAGAAAGAAACGACGGAGAGAGTTTGTGCGGGTGGGAAGAAGAAAGGGGAAAAAACTAAAGATAAAGGATGAAGCTTGTATGGAAAGAGAAGAAAGAAGGAAGTGGGGCCAAAGAAAGAAGAAAAAGGGTGGTGGGCCGTGGGCGGTAATAAAATAGGGGAAGAGAAGGGAAAAAAAAAGTGAAGAAAAGCATAAAAAATGACACGTGGCCTGGTACATCACTATGGTAACCGGTTAACCGGGACTCAAAAGGTTAAAGTCCAAATTTGATTTTTTTTTTAATTCATGGACTTGAGGGGGTGTATTGTATTAGGAATTAGTGGCAAAATCTTAAAAGTCCGTGGATTTTAAAAGTTTAGGTGTATTCAATGTGGACTTTTAAAAGTCTACAAAAGTCTAGGTGTATTCAATGTAGTATTTTAAAAGTCTATAAAATTCTAGGCGTATTCACAGTTCTATTCATTCTTATTGACTTCTAAAATCATTTATTCTTGTGGACTTTTAACTCATTTTTAGTGCAAAAATTCTCTGCAATTCTCTCTTCTCCTCACTAAAGATTTCTGTGAACTTTTCTTATATCGGGTTCTTCATCCTTTCTCACCCCATCCCTCCCCTCCCCCAACTCTCCTCTTCTTTAGCCAAGCCACCCCTTCCCCTTCGATCTTTCCTCTTCTTCTTCTTCAGCCCAGCTCGCCCCACCCCTCTCCTTCCATTCTTCTTCTTCAGCTTGACGGCCCCACCCCACTCCCCTCGATTCATTAATCGCATATCGATTCAATTCTAGAAGTTTTTAGAAGAACCGATATACGAATCGATAGTATTACATCAATGCAATTCTAGTACGTCGTCAGTTAATCATTAAGAAAATAAATATTTTAACTATCACTTTCTTTCGTCGTTAAACCGCTTAAGACATAAAAATATAATTTCAAATTAATAAATATATAACCATAAATACATATACAAGTTTTTACAAGATACTCCCTCCGTCCCGCTATGATTGTACCATTTTACCATTTCAATCCGTCCCACTAAGATTGTCTTATACCTTATTTGGTAAAATTTGTGTGGCTCTATATCATTCCTACTTTATTCTTACTTTATCAATTCAATATCAACCACATAATCCCACTTTTATTAACAACCGTGTCACCTTCTCTTGTCCCAAACTTAGGAGGACGCAGATAGTAGAAATTAAAAGAAAACAATCATTAAGTAGAAAAGCTCGATTGCATCTATGCTTGTACCACATGTAGCAATGAGTGTAACACTTGTGTAACGATTAATGTTCTTAATCATTAATAAAATGGCCAAGATTCTTGATCATTCTTGAAACTTTGCGTTTTTTTAATAAAAATAAATCTGAATTCTTATGCTTCATTTATTTTTGTAGAACTTTGTGTTGATATATGAATTACATTTGTTTCATTTATTTATTTATTTATTTATTTATTATCGTACTCCGTATTATATAGAGGAAATCACTCATGGTAGGACTAAAACATAGCATTATTAGTAAAGTATGATTGTATGTTTGATTTTTCTTAAATAGGAATAAATATTACATATTCACCCTTAATTTAATTGTCCTTAGTTCCCTTTCATAACCAAAGCCATTTTGTTGGTGGCAGATCAGCCCGATGACGACAGCAGGGAACTCTGGTGATGGAGGCGGACTGGTCACAGGCATATCGGTAGTGACAATCTAGGTGAAAATTCTGACGACCAGCAGTGGTGGTCCGCATTTAAAAGTCTATGGACTTTTTGAAAGTCAATAAACTTATCCATGGATTTATAAGTCCATAGTATTCATTCATAAAAAGTGTATGGATTTAAAAGTCCATTGACTTTTTTAAAAGTCCATGGATTAAAAAATGTCCACAACAATCCATATTGAATACACACCCTTAATTGGGTGTTTTTTAGTTTTGGGGACGGGGGGGGCTTAATTCAATTCTTGTCAAAGAAAAGAATTACTCTTGCACCAGAAATTTGTGTGTTGTGACTTTTTTTGAACCCGGTAATATGGCCAGAAAACTATCCTCATAGTTTTTTGGAGTAAAGGCCAAGGAACACCCTACCTCTTTATTAAATAAAAGGAGTTAACAATGTCGCACGGGTCAAGGCGCTGTGTCTCGACTCTCGAGAAGTCGACATAGTAGCACACCTAGTGGTGGACCAGGACCACGCCGGGCCGGGCCCCGAGTTGGGACTGAGCGGGCTCAGGCATCGGGATTTCAGGCCCGGTACCAGCCCGTGTTTGTAAGGGGGCCGGGCCAGGACGGGCCTAAACAGTATCGGGTCGGGTCAAAACAGTGTCGGGACTGGCCGGGCTTCAGGACCAGGCCCGGGTCGACCCGTCCCAATCCATCCCTAAGCACACACTAAAATTTTAGTAGTAATAAAAAGAAAATTGGATCGACTGCTTGAGTATTGCTGAGACAAGTAAATGAGAATGAGGGTAATAACAAATAACCACTGAATGAATAATTGGACAGTACGACTGTATGCGTATAAAAGGACACAGATCCAATGGGTACATTCCAGAAGAATGAGGGACTTTAGACCTTGCATTCCTAAGCGCATCAAACAATGCAGCCCCCGCATGAAAGCAGTTAGAAATTGGCCTTCAATGAAAAGGGCTCCAAATTGGAAGTACAGATTTGTTGTAGCCGCAGCTGATATTTTTTGTAGCAATATGGAAACCCTACAAAATTTAGGAATCAGTACATTTATTCTTTTTCTTGCTCAATATTTGAGCAAGTCAACTCAGGGACTTGGTGAAAGTATGAATAACAGACCAGACCAAACCAAGCATAGATATCATATATCAAGTAGCAAGCGACGAGGGTCTTCAACCACATCTTTTATCCTCCTCAAAAAGAACACTGCCTCTCTCCCATCAA